AATTGTCGAATTTACGAAATATTTCAAATTATATAAAAATTTTAAAAGGGCAATAATGACTTTTCACTCAAAAATTATCAAGAAAATGAAATTTGATAACTCGAGCTCGATAGAGCTCGAAAAGGCTCGAATGCTCAAATGGACTCGAGCCCATGCGAGTCGAGCTCGAGTACTGAGAGCAAGTTTCGAGCTCAAGCTCGAGCTCCAATAATACTACTCGCTCGAGCTCGAGCACCCCTATCTCTATGTCGAGTCGAGCTCGAGTATGGCGATACTCGGGCTCGACTCGACTCGATTACAACCCTACTCATGCATGCACAACACAAACTAGCAACATGAAACGTGGCACAAAGGGATCAAAATTCGAACCAGATAAAAGTTGTTGTTCATCCTAGGATCTCATAGATGGATTTTAAGGAAAAACAAGAAAGAAGGGAAACCCCATCAACTAGTTACCAGTACCAAGGAATACAAAAAATTATTGAACATAGGCAGAGAGATTTAAGGTTGTTCTAAAATCTATATCTATATAAATTTGAGAAGGAATTTTTAGCAACAAGCCTCCACACATCTTTTCACTACCAATTCCATTTTTCTAGCATTTCACATTTAATTTAATTTGTAAAATATATTCCTCTTAACTTCCACATCTACTCTTCACATTTGACATTGTTGGTTACTTTTTAAAATCATTCCATTTCAAATTGTTGGTTAATATGCATGTTATCCTATTTGAACTTCAACTCATCACGTTTCCGATTGTCTTGCATTATTTATGATTCTACTCCAATTAAAACTTCTATAAGATCATAACAAGATATAACAAATATAATATCTTTTCATGCTTTCTTATTAATTTAAATAAGTAAGATTATTTACACTCCATTTTTGTTATGCACACTTCAATAATCATTTTGATCATATAGTTTTCATTAATTAGACTATATGATAAAACAAATGGTGAAATTGCAAATAATAAAAAACGGAGTGCAAATAACATTTTCCTAAGTAAGAAGCATAGTTATTAAACTCGACCCGGCTCGGCGGTTCAACCGGTCAACCCGGTGAACCGGCCATGAAACCAGGCCGGGTTCTTAATAAGATCGTTTCTGCATTGAATCCGTTGACTTTTCAACAGATCGACGGTTGAACCGGTTAACTCGGTTGAACCGACCGATTTTACGAGGAACCTGGTTTACGGAAAAATTTTATAAACATTGCTAGAATGGAGATTCGAACGCGTGACCTCATGCAAAGAAGTAGACTACCATTATCGCCAGACTAGTCAACCATTTTATTAGTTATTTTGTTCTTATACTATATATTAGAGTCTTATTCTTATTTTATTTCTCCAAAACAAAATTTATTTGGAATCTTTTAATAATATTTTTATTATTCCCTGAACTCTATAAATTATGAAATTGGCTTAAAAAGAACATATTACACAAATCATTTTAAAGGCAAATATTATTCTTAATAAACTTTTGCACTTAAAATTTATAAATAAACTAGATAATTACACTTAGATAAAATTTTATACTTGAAGTTTGGTGGATTACTAATTAAATTTAGGTTGTTAATTCTTATAAAAATTAATGAATCTATAATAAATTAAACTAACTGAATATTTATTATGCATAAAAATTATAAAACATAATATTTAAATATATGTAGTGACCCACTAGTTGGACCACTCACTCACCGGTTGAACCAGTAACTCGTTGATCCACCTCTTTCACCGGGTTCCTCCCCAGGCCGGATTTAATAACTATGGTAAGAAGTGGCTTCCATGCCTTTCTAATTTAAATAAATAAGAAGTGCTCCATTTAGATAGGAATTTGGTTTGAAGTTTATTAGTGGGAGGGTAAATAAAGAGAAAACATTACCAAGCTTAGTAAAAGTAAAAAGTAAATGATAATATTTTATCTTTTAACTTAGTAATCCCAAGTAAAAGGGCAAAATTCAATAGAAAACAAAAAGGAAATAATGTCGTGGATTTAAAAAATCAACAATGGTACCATTCATGAAATCTAAATTATGAAATCACTAAATAAAAAACAAAGTACTACTGGCCTTTTAACGTGGAATTTTTTTTTTGAAATATTCATTTTTGATAAAAATAATGATAATAACAACACCAATTCTAACAAAAAATTTTAAAAAAGTAACATTATAGTTTAAGAGAAAAATATAGAACATGCGACCCTAAAATACTACTTAATTTGTAAATATCTAGCCCAAATTTGACCCTGATTAGATTTGAATAAGAGTGCAAAACCCAAAAATTAAGGATAACTTTTGGTATCATTAATTATTTTATGTATTCTTATTGCTGTCTTCATATGTAAATATTATTTGCTATGTTAAAACATATATATATATATATTGATTGTAGTACTTGAGCATATTATAGATATTATCAGTTTTTCATTTCTATTTTTAGATACTAATAATTGCAACCATTGTAATCAATTTTCAATTGGGAAAATGGCCAATTTACTCCCTAAACTTTTTTTTACTATCAATTTAGTCCCCACTTAATTTTTTTGACCAATTTAATCCCTATACTTATTTATCGGTTCCAATTGAGGAACATCGCAGCGGCGCCACCTTATAATTTCGATGAAACTTCTAATTAAGCAATTAAACAGGGGCATTTCGGGTACTTCACTGATGGGCAGTAAAATAAGAAATAAAATAGAAGGAAAAACACAAAACCAGTGAGAAAAACCGGACTGGTGTGTTTGGAGCCGTGAATGTGGCACATAACATGCTGGGAGGGACTATTCCGTCGTACATAGGCCGCCGGTTAATGTACCTTAAAGAGAAAACAAAGTCCTTTAAGAAGTAATGAGCTGCTTGAATTCTTTCAGGAGATTGCCTGACATTGTTGAATGTACGGAGTGCTTCCTCTTCAAAATTTCTTTATTTGCTGGTTTTGCGGCTTTTGCCTTCTGTGCGCGTAAAACAATGCTCTGTAATTGATGCACAAATGGGGTACAGACTTTAGGTTGCCAAGAGTACTGGCAACTATAAACACAGACCAAAAATAACTTTCCAATGGTGAACGTCCGACGAGTTTTGGCCTGCCAACATTCGACAACCGCCAGAATTGTTTGCCAGCTAGGCCAACGCAGCGCCCTGCTACTCAGTGTAAGGCATTCTTGTCTAAGAAATTCACTGCAGTGCATTCAAGTGTCATCCATTTATTCCGACCTTGTCCCCTCCACCACCTTCATCTCCAGTGTCGGTGCCCTTATCGCCTCCTCGCCCTCATTTTTCCTCTCCTCCACCGCCAGTTTATACACCCCCATCACCTTTACCACCCCCACCGCCACCTGTTTACTCTCCTTCTCCACCGCTTTCTCTGCCACTGCCGGTTTATTCTCTGCCACTTCCTCCTCCCTTACCCCCTCCACCTTCTTCTCCTCTTTCCTCACTGTCTCTACCTTCTCCTCTTCCGCCACCACCTCCTCCATCTTCTCCTCCACCTTCTCCCCCTCCTCCATCTCATCCACCGCCATCTCCAGCTCCTTCTCCAGCTATCTCATCACCTCTACCTTTCCCTCCATCTCCTTCGCCGACTCCGCCATACTGTGTGTGCTTACCGCTACCTTTACAACCAAATTCTCCACCACCTCCTCTATTCTCTCCACCACCTATCCCGTAATATTATAATTCACCACCTCCTCCGCCACCAAATTCATCCCCACCTCCACCACCAGTGTACATTTACTCATCACCGCCCCCCACCACTTGTACACTCGCTACCTCCACCGCCAGTTGTGCACTCCCCGCCTCCACCTCAATCACCTTCACCACTACATTGTATAGAACCCGTCCACCACCATCACTACCGCCTTGTATAGAACCCCCCGATCACCACCCCTTGATTAAATCTCTTTGATTTGTTATGTTAATAGGTTAATGAAGTTCGGTGGGTTTTTCTTGCTATAAAAATGTGTTGGTAAATTTTTCCTTCTATTTTACTTCTTATTTTATTGTCCATCAGTGAAGTACCCGAAATACCCCTGTTTAATTGCTCAATTAGAAGTTTCATCGAAATTATAAGGTGGCGCCGCCGCGATGTTCCTTAATTGGAATCGATGAATAAGTATAGGGATTAAATTGGCCAAAAAAATTAAATGAGGACTAAATTGACAGTAAAAAAAAGTTTAGGGACTAAATTGACCATTTTCCCTTTTCAATTTTATAATTTCATTATGACAGGTAAAGTTAAATATCGCAGGGATATGAATTTAGAGGTTGGGTATGGGGGTAGGAGGGAGAGAAGAAAATGGTGAGGAGTTAAAAAGTGGCGAGACAGGTTGAAGGAGAAATGTGAGTTACAAGGATGGGCGGAGAAGGGAGAGAAGAAGAAAGGAGATTGCAGAGATATGACAGAAATGACGAAAAAAAAAATAGAGAGAGTGATACCATGATAGAAAATACGAAAGTCGTAGAAGGCATCTAATGACTAGCTGGCGGATAAGAAAATAGGGAAATATGGTGATTTTTAATAATTTTAAGAACTCTAAAAACATACATTACCGAGATTTTTTTTAAATATACGTTAAAGTTTATGAAAAATGCTAATCTAAATGCAGTCATCAATTTTAGCGGTACAAGATATGAGAAAGATTTTTTTTCTAAAAATGGAAGAAAATAAATTGGTTATAATTTATTTTTTTATATTATAAGTTTTGATATATAGGTATAACATAATATATTTTGTCGGATACCGATAAATTGATTTTTTTTTTTAGAAAACTTTTCTCATCTCACCAATCAACCTAACCCTCTCCTTAAATGTGTTAACAATTCCACTATCATGTAAATCATTATAAATTAAAATTTTTCAACATGTTAAGCATACACTTCTTTAAATTTTTCAATCTATATATATTATTCTGTACCACAATATATAAATATATACAATGTTATTTTGATTTGAAATATAATCTGTGCATAGCACGGGTCAAAATACTAGTAAGGTGAAATTAAGGATGTCAGGGGCACAAGGAGCACAACCAAAGGAGTCCTATACGGCTACAACGTATGAATCAAAAGATGTAGGAGAGAACAAGCCCAGAACCAACCTTTATTCCAAGGAGGATGAGGGCTATATTGAGGTTGATAAAATTCAGGAGAAAGTAGAGGATCCTGTGGGCAAGGGAGGTCCTGTTTTTGGCGCTGGCAAGCATGATGACAAGGAGGACTTGGGTGTTACTGGAACTGGTTAATTAATTAGTATGCATGGTCTTTTTTGTTCCTTCTTTTTATGGGAAAGCTGGGGGTTTCTGATAAGTTCTGATAGTTTCTATGGGTGTAAATCTTTAATCTAGACTCTTCCATTTGTTTTTCATGGTTTTTTGATCATCGTATTTGGTCTTAATTTTGTATAAAAAATTGATTCCCTGCACTCAGAAGAATTTGTTTTGGTAACGGAGTTCTGATGTAACTCGTGTATTGGAAGTTATCATCAGTTCCACTTCCTTCTAATGAAGTTTGCAATCACCTCTGCTTTCCTTGTCTGCGAGTTGAATTCTCTGTAAAGTTGGACATGATTTTTTTTCCCCCTCTCTGATAGCTCCTGGGCTTCATTGTGTTGTCTCGGAAACAACATTTAATTTCTTGGATGGTAAGTTCCTGGCAACAACCAAAGTTGACAAAATCTGGGTAGGATCCTACCTGAATATGCTTTCCATGTCATGGATGATGTGTTGAATGGATTATAGATTTGTCTAATCTTGTGGATTAATTAGTCTTCTCTGATCTCATTAGCCTATACGGGCCTACATCATTGATACCAAATCAACATCATTAAGCATAAATTACAGTCACTAATTTGCTGTTTTAGGAAGGAAATGTATGTTGTTGCCTCTCCTGGCCATGTCCATTTCAGCTGAATAACAAGTTTCATTGGAATTCTTTTCTTGCCAAGCGTTAATTCTCTGAATCTGCTGCGTGCAAAAAGATCCTCTACTATTGTGGCAGCTCACCAAACAGTAGAAAGAGACTGTTTTCTTCTCCAAATAGAACACTTTAGCTTCTTGCTGAATAGACAAAAGTGGTTGTCTAACTCTAACGTGATAGTACTTTCAAATGAAATCCAAATCTGTTGTTTTTTAGTGGTTTTGATTCTTCGAACATATGGAAATTTTCTACCCGCTGTGTTCCATGACTTGATTTTTGTACCCAAAAGAATGAAAGACTTCAGTCCACAAAAGAAACAGATAAAGGAATGAAAACGAAGAAATGAAGAAAGGGAGCAGGCTAAATACTTTTGTGTTTAAGCATCTCATGTTCTTTTCTCATATTGACAAATTGTCCACGGGAGAAAATTGAAGCAGCGGAGTTAGGACGTCCGACACACTACTATTTGCGAGGAGAATGAAATGACACTTTGACAAAGCCAGCATTTAAGGGGTTTAATAAGTTAGAAGAAGAATGAATTAGTACACAAAAACTCATGACTAGTATGAAATAGAATAATTTTTTTTGTAAAATAGTCTAGTCTGCTGCTGATTTGAGCAGAATTTTTATGCACGGCAAGGCACTGTGAACAGAAAAAAAAATGTGGGATTTTTCAGGCAGGAAACTTTTGGTGCAAAAGGACCTAACTGGTCCAAATCACTTGCAGAATACAAGGCAAGCTTGTCATTCAAAATTGAGGAATATACAATTTGACGTAGAGCCATACAAGGCTTGAAATGTGGACCAAATTGTTTGAACGTTCAAAGTTAGCTGAGCTGTTGAAGCTTTTAAGTTTTCCGGGTTATGTTTGTCCAATGAATGATGCTAAAGACTGTAATGATTGCTATCTGAGAAGTCCGTAGATTGAGAAGAAGTCCAGGCATGAAACATTGACATTCGAATCAGCTAATGAAGAAAAGATGTCCTAAACAGATGATTGGCTTTGAAGTATTTAACATTAATTAACATCTTTCAGACCATAAAATACGAGATAAGAATGTGGAAAAATGAAGAATGAAACCATGAGAAAGAAAGAAAAGTGAGTCCTTGCAGATTCCAGACTGCAATCTTGAAAAATTATAAACTATGGAAGGTCAGAAAGTGGTTTTTCTGCGCAACTCAAAACACGTAATGCTTAGGTCTAAGAAAGTTGCTGGGTACAACCTTAACAGAATTCATTAATTCAAATCGAACTTGAGCAGAATGTCAAAGTCATAGATTTTACCGAACTGGAGGCAATTTGCTTGTTTAGCTCTATAAATGCAGCAGAACTCATCATCCACTTCTTCTGCAACCAACTTCTTGTTTCATTTGCATCCCTCTACCCTGCATTTGCAATGGCACCCCTGAGATGGCTCTTGATCTTTGTTGCATGTTTCCTTTCATGCACAGTCTTGGAAAGTCTGAGACCTGTCCTGATTGTTTTATCCATTCTCGGGCAGGTTATTACCCAAATTCTGACGAAAAAGGAACAGAAGGTCAGGATCAAGCTACATATACAAATTCATAAGCATGAGCATGAAAGCGTGTTGTCTTGCTTGCTTTGCAATTTTAGATGACATGAATTCATGCACATTAATTGCTAGCACTAATATCGCGCTTAATATGATCGCAGTTGGGAAATGTGGCTTTGGTAAGTTTGGAGCAACACTCAATGGCGGTGACGTTTCGGCTGCAGCAGAGCTGTATCGAGCGGGTGTAGGATGTGGCGCTTGCTATCAGGTAATTACAGCATGCCACAATATTATACATGTCATTAGAATGCCTGACGTTTTCATATGCTTGTATGCATTATCTATATTTATGTCTAATGACTCTATCATGCTGCTCTTAATCAGGTAAGGTGCACTAACAGTTATTATTGCCTGGATAAAGGAGTAACTGTAGTCATAACTGACCATGGAAGCAGTGATCAAACTGACTTCATTCTCAGCCAGCGAGCCTTTAGTCAGATGGCACGGAGCACAGATGCAGCAGCCTCTCTACTGGCACTTGGAATAGTTGACATTGAATATAGAATGTTAGAGATATGCTTCATGGTCATTAAGAAAGCTACAAGATATGCTTCATGGTCATTAAGAAAGCTTCTAGATTTAACTAATAACAGATGATTTAGAAGTTAGAAGCTCACAAATTGAACTTTCATATGACTGAGAGGAGAGCATCTGCAGGAACTATATGTTCTTTTCCTTGGGTTTACCATTGATTTATTCCATAAAAGTAATTAAGCAAGTCCATGAAAACACAAAACTTCATTGTATCCTCCATGGAAGTAAAACCTCTGTGAACTAAATGAATCTCTCTGTCTCTTTTTGAACAGGGTCTCATGTAGCTATCTTAACAAAAATATTACATTCAAGATCGATGAGAGCAGCAATAACCCTTATTATTTAGCTTTTGAAATACTGTACCAGCAAGGAAAGATGGACATTACAGCTGTGCAGCTCTGTGAGGTGCCATACAGTGCTTTTTCCCCTTTGATACTGGAACCTACTCATTTTCCATAGACCAAGTTTATGAAAGATATTGTCAAATTATCTGTAAAACAAGAATAGTTTTGTTTCACAGACTTTGAGTGTCACAATATTAATTAATCAGTCTGGGTAAAAGCACACTACCTAGACTCCTTGACTATAGTTCAGAAGTGTGCTTAACTGACAAATGCACATTTTTCTTTGTGCAGACACAAAACTTTGTTTGTAAACTATTGGATAGGACTCATGGAGCAGTATGGACAACCACCTCGCCACCAAGCGGGCCTTTATCGATAAGGATGCTATTTAGTGCCAATGATGAAGATGAGACATGGGTAGTTCCAGTCAATAACATACCAGGAAATTGGAAACCTGGAGACACATATGACTCAGGAGTACAAGTAAATGCATAGCCAAAGAAACTGAATGTTGTCATTCTACGGTCAATAAGTCCTCGGTGTTCTTGTGCTTTATTTTTTATTCGTTTCGTATCCAAATTTAGTCAGGAGATGGTACAAGAAGTTGGCGTTCTACAGTTAGTCATTCCATTACTGCTCACTAGTAAAAGTAACCAGGAGAAGAATTATAGGTTTGTAGTAATTCTCTACCGTAGACTGTGGACTAATTGTATCCTCCTCCTATGTCAAAACAATTGATTGCATATGAATAAATTGGATGCAAGACATAATTATTTTTCTTTCAACATTTACTCATAAAGCTTTCAAAGCTTCATATCTCTGATAGACAAGATGTTGATTGTATCTGTCAATATACAGCATTTCATGTTACTTCTGAACAAACTGAACAACTTTTGTGAATTTACAACTATATCTCACCTGGGCAGCAATGGCCTTGAATACTTGAATGCCAATGCTAATTCATAAACTGAGATCAACAGTATTCCACGATGAAGTTGGGCAATCATAACTTAGGAAATCACCCTATTGTCTATGCAAGTGATGAACCACGAAAAGTCATACCATCACCTTCAATTCAGAAGCCAGGCTAGGATATCTGATAGATAATTGGTATTCAGGTCAACTTTTGCCTAGCATGCTTACGTCTCAAATAATCACAACTCAATATTAACACGAACACGTTCTGATTTTTTGCATATGCTGAGCGAAATCTTCAGTTAAAAAAAATATCATCAACTGTTTTCCCTTTGCTTCAACTATAAAACTTCCAGAACTCAATCTTCTCTAGCAGGGAGTTTTGTATTGGTTTAATCCTTCTATTCATGAATTTGGTCTCCGAATAACCAATTTTGATAATTTCTTCCACAAAGAATATATATTCCTCTTCCTGTTCTATTGTCTGCATGACAACTTCAATTGAGCACCCATTTCACTCAACATAGAGTAAACCATGCTTCTCTTGTGGGCTGATCTAGTTTTCTGAGACATATCTGATTGTAAATCCATCAAGTGCACAAGGCTAGACCCAGCTTCCTTTTCTGTGCCCTTTTCTTTCATCAACTTTCTTATATTCTCCACATCATCCCATCTCCCTTCTGTGGCATATATGTTGGACAATAACACATATGGCCCAATATCCCCTGGTTCCATACCAATTAATCGCTTTGCAACAATCTGTCCAAGTTCTAGTCTGGAGTAGGTCCTGCATGCCGAAAGTACAGACCCCCATAGAGCTGTTCCTGCTTCCACGGGAATTGTCTTAACAAGTTCTTCACTATCATGCACCAACCCAGCCCGGCCAAGGAGATCAACCATGCAACCATAGTGCTTAACCTTGGGCTCTATATTGTAAACTCTATGCATTAAATCAAAGTACCACCAGCCCTCTAACACCATCCCAGCATGATTACATGCACTTGGGATGCATGTAAAAGTGGCATCATTTGGCATCACTCCACACTTTTCCACCTCCATAAACATTTCAAGAGCTTTTTCTCCATGCCCTTGCATCCCATATCCCATAATCATAGAATTCCATGATACAACACTTCTCTCTGGCATCTCATCAAAGATCAACTTCGCCAAATCCATAGCCCCACATTTTGCAAACATTGTCAAGAGAGTTGTCATAAGCAACACATCTGGCTTGATTCGTCCACTACCTTTTATATAGGAATGAATCCATTGACCTCGATCAAGCCTTCCCAGATGTCCACAAGAGATCAGAACACTTACAAGTATAGCCTCATTCGGCTGAACATCTCCTTCCACCATCATCTCATCAAACAATCTCAAACACTCAGAATAGTCCTTCAACCTCACATAAAGAGCCAACATAGTAGTCCAAGAAACCATATTCCGGCAATCCATTTGATCAAATAACATCCTCGCTCCATCTTTATTTCCAGTCCTGGCATAGCCATCAATCATACAATTCCAAGAAACAACATCACGAGAAGGCATCTCCTCAAACAACTCCTTTGCCGCCGCCATATCCCCAACCCCTACATACCCTGTAATTATTGAATTCCAACTAAAAACATCCCTTTCGTGCATCCCATCGAAAATCTGCCTTGCAAAGCCCAGTTCTCCATTCTTCACATACCCATCAATCATCGTATTCCACGTTACCAAATCTGAGTCAGAACATAAATCAAATACCTTCCTTGCATCCCAAATTTTTAAACAAACAGAATACATATGAATCAGAGCATTCCTAACAAATAAATCCAACTCAAACCCACATTTCACAACACGACAATGAATCTTTATCCCTTCATCTAACAAACCCGCATCAGCACAAGCTTTAACTAATATAGGAAAAGTATAATTATTCTGAAAGACGCAATTTTTAACCATTCCATTATAGTAAAAAGCCAATGCCTTTTTTGGGTCATTGAATCTCACGTATCCTCTAATTATAGTATTAAATAGAAAAGCATCTGGGTATTCAAGATTATCAAATATTTTAATGGCACAAGGAAGTGTAGACTCAGAAGAACAGAGCTTTTTAATTGCTCTGCCGGAAGCAAGGGGATGTTGAATGAGGCCCGAGACAACGAGTTGGGTATATATTTGGTTGAAATGATAGAGATTAGGACTGATAGAGTCTAAAATGCAGGATGGGGTGGCTAAGATCTAAAATCTGCACCCCATCATGGTCTAGATGGCTGGGGACTCGTTTATCGGTATCAGACCAGAGTTTTGGAGTTGGCCTGGCAAGATTTCTCTGGGTTTTGATGAACTTTTCAAGGGTTCTTGAGGAAAGGTCGATTGAATTTCTGGCGGCTCTGAGCCTAACGGTCATCTTTTTCTGTCCAAGATTTGGCGGCAAGATCAGAGAGGGACTGTATTTTTTTCAACAAACGAGAAGTGGAAGAAATTTAAACCTTAATCCTCAATCCCACCAAAAAATGTGACCAAGGAATTTAAATCTCACTCACTCAACCCTCACTGGACCGATGTGGGAGAAAGGGGAAAGGGAAATACTCGCACTCTTGATTTTACCCTCAGCATTGGTTATTATCCTTCCCGTGACTCTTGTTTCTTTCCAACAAACGAGAAGTGGAAGAAATCTAAACTTTAATCCTTAATTCCACCCAAAAGACAATTGCTGACTTCTAGGTGCGATCAAGGGACTTAAATCTCACTCACTCAACCCTCACTGGACCGATGTGGAAGAAAGGGGAAGGAAAAACACTCTCACTCTTAGTTTTACCCTTAGCATTGGCTATTACCCGTCCCGTGACTCTTGTTTCTTTCCAACAAACGAGAAGTGGAAGAAATCTAAACCTTAATCCAGAGAGGATTGTATAGTTTGGTGTTTTACAGTTAAATTTCTGTATAATGATGCTTACTTCATCAGTTTACACCCTGTACTCTTGTCAAAATAATTTTAAAAAAGTCGTTCCGAAAATGAAAAAAAAAACATTGGTTTGAACTTTGAACTCTTATAGATGCTTTTAGGTTGGCCAGAATATTATAGGTCATGAATTGAAATGATCTTTCATCAATTGAAACTTCTTTTTTGATTAATGTAGTACAAAAAATGTTGATTGGAAATTATATTTAAAGTTCTTTGGCAATATGTTTACGAGGAATAGTGGAATCCAAATTAAACCATTGCAGTTTTTTTTTATCATTATGTAAATTTCTTACACCTATAATTTTCGAGCAACACTACTCATGTTTAACCTGTGGTTTGAACTCTTAAATTTGTGCTTTTAACTTGGCCAAATTATTATAGGTCATGAATTGATTAATTGAAATAATCTTTCAGCAATTAGATGTTTTGAGATGTTTTTATAAAACTTTTATTGAAACCTCTTTTTTGATTAATGTAGTACAAAAACTGTTGATTGGAAAATACGTTTAAAGTTGTTCGGTAATATGCTTACGAAAATAGTGGGTGCAATATTTTGTCAAGAAGAACTAAACATATATACCTTTCCAAATGGGAATGGAAAATGCGAAAGGGAAAATGGTCAATTTAGTCTCTAAATTTTTTTTTACTGTCAATTTAGTCCTCATTTAATTTTTTTGGCCAATTTAATCCCTATACTTATTCATCGATTCCAATTAAGGAACATCGCGGCGGCGCCACCTTATAATTTCGATGAAACTTCTAATTGAGCAATTAAACAGGGGTATTTCGGGTACTTCACTGATGGACAATAAAATAAGAAGTAAAATAGAAGGAAAAATTTACCAACACATTTTTATAGCAAGAAAAACCCACCGAACTTCATTAACCTATTAACATAACAAATCAAAGAGATTTAATCAAGGGGTGGTGATCGGGGGGTTCTATACAAGGCGGTAGTGATGGTGGTGGACGGGTTCTATACAATGTAGTGGTGAAGGTGATTGAGGTGGAGGCGGGGAGTGCACAACTGGCGGTGGAGGTAGCGAGTGTACAAGTGGTGGGGGGCGGTGATGAGTAAATGTACACTGGTGGTGGAGGTGGGGATGAATTTGGTGGCGGAGGAGGTGGTGAATTATAATATTACGGGATAGGTGGTGGAGAGAATAGAGGAGGTGGTGGAGAATTTGGTTGTAAAGGTAGCGGTAAGCACACACAGTATGGCGGAGTCGGCGAAGGAGATGGAGGGAAAGGTAGAGGTGATGAGATAGCTGGAGAAGGAGCTGGAGATGGCGGTGGATGAGATGGAGGAGGGGGAGAAGGTGGAGGAGAAGATGGAGGAGGTGGTGGCGGAAGAGGAGAAGGTAGAGACAGTGAGGAAAGAGGAGAAGAAGGTGGAGGGGGTAAGGGAGGAGGAAGTGGCAGAGAATAAACCGGCAGTGGCAGAGAAAGCGGTGGAGAAGGAGAGTAAACAGGTGGCGGTGGCGGTGGTAAAGGTGATGGGGGTGTATAAACTGGCGGTGGAGGAGAGGAAAAATGAGGGCGAGGAGGCGATAAGGGCACCGACACTGGAGATGAAGGTGGTGGAGGGGACAAGGTCGGAATAAATGGATGACACTTGAATGCACTGCAGTGAATTTCTTAGACAAGAATGCCTTACACTGAGTAGCAGGGCGCTGCGTTGGCCTAGCTGGCAAACAATTCTGGCGGTTGTCGAATGTTGGCAGGCCAAAACTCGTCGGACGTTCACCATTGGAAAGTTATTTTTGGTCTGTGTTTATAGTTGCCAGTACTCTTGGCAACCTAAAGTCTGTACCCCATTTGTGCATCAATTACAGAGCATTGTTTTACGCGCACAGAAGGCAAAAGCCGCAAAACCAGCAAATAAAGAAATTTTGAAGAGGAAGCACTCCGTACATTCAACAATGTCAGGCAATCTCCTGAAAGAATTCAAGCAGCCCATTACTTCTTAAAGGACTTTGTTTTCTCTTTAAGGTACATTAACCGGCGGCCTATGTACGACGGAATAGTCCCTCCCAGCATGTTATGTGCCACATTCACGGCTCCAAACACACCAGTTCGGTTTTTCTCACTGGTTTTATGTTTTTCCTTCTATTTTATTTCTTATTTTACTGCCCATCAGTGAAGTACCCGAAATGCCCCTGTTTAATTGCTTAATTAGAAGTTTCATCGAAATTATAAGGTGGCGCCGCTGCGATGTTCCTCAATTGGAACCGATAAATAAGTATAAAGATTAAATTGGTCAAAAAAATTAAGTGGGGACTAAATTGATAGTAAAAAAAAGTTTAGGGAGTAAATTGGCCATTTTCCCAAATGCGAAATTCACAATGCGAAGTTTCTTGTGGCACTAATTATTCTTTTCGTCGAGTAAAATTAAAATGGTACAAAAGTTGATTAGTAGTATTTAAAATTGTATCAACCTTCCAAAAAGACAGAGCATCGTAGTTTTAACGCATAGAATAACTTATTCCATTTCAGTAGCTTACCAAATACTGCTCTCTTGCAAACTTCCAGCAACTACCACAACGGTACCAGGTACCATTCTCTTCTCCCCATTTAAATATATGTTTTTTCTGATCTTAATCACTAGAATTTTCTATGCGGCTTAGACTGTTTGACTGCATGAAATCAGTGCTTTAATTTGGAATGGTACGTTCTTGTTTCTTGTTCGCAAGGCATCTGAAAGTGACGTCTAGTTTTAGCTGATCATCCTCCTAGTGCTACATGATTGTTTTAGCTTTGATTAAAGGGTGGTTTGGATTTTGTTTGTTAATTTTCAGTACCCGCAATTGCATATTTGGTAAAATAAATATGTTTCAGAAGGATATTTGGGTTAAATTTTGTTTTTGACTTTGGAGGAGCTTACCTCAATGGGAAATTGTTGTGCTCTCCTAAAATCTATTGTGGGTTTTGCCAACGAGGTAGACATATACTGCTTTTTGTTTGCCCATGATTTTGAAGTGAGCAAGCCTAGGGCCTGGTGATTTAAAAAGTTGCGTATGATATCTCTGGGAGCCTAGTTCTCTATCACAGTTTTTAAGTATTGATCTGTTCTAGACATGATTTTCGAGGTTAAATTTATAGGCAGTTTAAGGAGCCAGCTAAAGAATTATGTTCTTAATTCTGGGCAATTACATGTTTGATTTGCTCCATCTGAATACTATCTCCACACAACATCTAGGTAATGGGTGATTGGATTGAAAGGTAAGCACTACTGGACTTGTGCAGAGCTTTAACTTGATGAATTGCCTCAGTAGATATGTTTTTGCTTGCTAATGTTTAGTTTATATAGCTAGAATCAGCAGGGATCATATTCAGTCTGATCAATGAAAGGATTTCATAATAGAGGAGGAGCATGATGGAAGGTTGCCAAAACAGAAGAAGGTCAAAGTTGTTTTTGTCTTGGGTGAGCATTTGGGGTTGATTCTCTGCTCCTGTTCCTAACCTCTATGAGCCTTTAAACGGTCATATTCCACTTAGTTATATTTAAATCCACAGGAAGTGTCTTCTGATCCAATTCTTCAGTCAAAATAGACTACTTCTGTTCTGATTAATTAAACTCATGAATTGTACACAGCTTTTTCAACAAATCTTGAAGGTGGATCTCTACTTATTATCTTTCCTCCAGATAACAGAGGACACAAGTCCAAGAAACTCGAGAAAGTTGAGCAAAAGACATGTTGACACAGATTTCAATCAAACAGATAAACTGCCAAATAATTTCAAAATCATCTTGGAAAATTGTCTCATCAAGTCTGCCTTTCTAGTTGTGTGGACCATATGGAACCAAATTTGCTGCTTGTGACTGGAAGGAACACCTGCAAGGCTTTTATATCTTATATTAGCAAGAGAAGTGAATAATAAAAGGAGCTAGTAATCTGCGCTGCACCAATTTCATTTATTTCAGAGAATGGCTTCATAGTGCTTTTAGTTCCTTTGGCTTAGTTGAGTGAACGAGTTTTAGTTGCTCCGTCCTTTTCTGAATCCTCTATTTGGCAGAAAAGAAAGTATTTTTTTTCATTCCTTGATTGGCTGTGTTTCATTGTCATGGCACCTGAAGTTGTTAATTAAAGACCTGTTTTTGTTTTTAGATATTTGGTTGCCAAATTCAGTAACCATACACAGCCACCTATGTGTCAGCATCCGAGTTTCTTTTGCCTTTTCTCTTCAATTTTCCTTTGCAATAACCCTGACAAACTCACATGAATATGGTTTTCCTCTTGATCAATAATTTTAGTGTTTCTGACCTTGTAATTGTCAATCTGTGACCTTTCTCAGTATACTTGTATCACATCTTTTATTCTTTCTTACGGTGGGATGGCTTTGGATTATGCATCTAACAAGTGGTCCAGGAAGTGGAAAAGGGACTCAGTGTGCCAAAATTGTTGAACAATTTGGTTATAGCCACCTTAGTTCCGGTGATCTTCTCAGGAAAGAAATCAAAGCTGGCTCAGAGCATGGGTATGTACTCTTGCTTTTCCCTTCATTTATTGGTCTTACAATTTTATTTCTCAGAATATTGAGCACGAAGTATCAGTTGAACAATGTTTGATTCCATGGTATTGACTATACAACATTGGCATGATATTATGTAGTTGAAATGGATCTGATGTAGAATTTTTGTGAGATTATGGTTATGGTTGGAATAGTTCTTACTCTCTGCTTCATACTGTCATGTCCTTAATGATTCTGCAGCACCATGATCCAGAACATGATGAATGAGGGAAAACTCATTCCATCTGATATAACGATTAGGCTTATTCAAAAAGCTATGCAAGAAACTGACAATGACAAATTTCTTCTTGATGGCTTCCCCAGAGATGAAGAGAATGTTAGAACGTTTGAGAAACTTGTATGTATGTTTTTCAACTGAAAGTTTGAGTTTTGAACACAATGCATCCTCCTTCCAATTTAAACTTGTATTCACCTAATCCCAGTGTACTGGGCTTCTGACAAAACCATCACTTTGTCAAAGCCACACTTAAAAGATTGACTTAAAATTCAACTCTTCTTTTCTGTAGACAAAGATTGAACCAGATTTCATACTGTTTCTTGATTGTCCAGAAGAGGAGATGACAAAGCGTCTTCTATCCAGAAACCAGGTTAAGTTTGTGTAAGCCAAGTTGACATGCTCATGGTTTCTGTTTAGTGCTTTTACAAATGTAGGTTTCTTCCTTATTGTGGACAAAGAAAGGATCTTATTTGACTTGCACCCAAAATCCTGGGGAAGAGAAGATGATAACATTGAAACAATAAAGAAACGCTTTCGAGTTTTTCAAGAGTCCACTCTGCCTCTGGTTAATTATTATGCTTCAAAGGGGAAGGTACGGAAGGTAAGCAATCTTTCATCTTCATGAGTTTATGAACAAATGACTGTTTTGGTTCCTGCAGCAGCAACAACCAAGTTCTCAATTGGCAGGTGGATGCTGCAAGGCCTGTTGAAGATGTTTTTGGATCAGTCAAAACCATTTTCTCCTCAGCAAATGAACAGGTAAAAACTAGATATGGAATTTATTGAAGTGAAATTGGTGATTAAATGACTATGACATTGGAAATATACAATCTTTTACCTGTTACAAGGTTGATTTGGCTTTTTCTTTTCTATTTCCCCTGAAAACAAAGTAAAGAGAACTCTGCATTGGATTGTACAACTATAGTTTTACTTGCCTTGAAAATTATGAGTTGACTGAACTAGTCATGCTCTTAAAAGTTTTTAATGCCACATCTTATCTGTTATCCTACTCAGCTGATGCAGACCATGTTGTGCCTTGCAGGGTGCCTGAAGCTCAGGGAATAAATAGCTTTTACTGGTTTGATACTACATGCATTTGGGTAGTAGTCTCTGATTTACGTAGGCATTCTCTCAGATGGAACATTCATCCCTTCTTCTCCCAAAATAAGTACAAAAACAAGATGCTGTTTCTTATTTTTGCGAAAAGAGAATGTTAGCATTGGTTAATTTTGCTTAATTACATGTTTCATGTATTGTCACTCTTGGATGGCTACTTAAAAGTGGAATGGGAGTAAAGGACTGAAAATGTACAAAACTTGCTGAAATTTTCACAACTGTGGATTGTGGGTGCCATATTAAGTTTTTGAAAGTATGTATATTGTGGATGTATGAAGAATCCATGATCTGTTGGTTATGAAATTCTAAGTTCAATATTATGTTTTTCAACTGATACAAGGATCAGAAATTTTGAAGTTAGCTTGGCAGGCCTGTTCATAAAGGCTACTGAACATTTGCAGGTATTGACATGATAAGCAGCATTTCAACAGTAAACCAACACTTTCTTTTCTTATATATCATGGCATATTTGTGACATACAGTTTTTTAGTTTACTGTCTATTGAGTTTCAATTTTAGTCCTTGCTCTATTTTAGCGAGTTATGAAGAGAATAACAAATTTTCACATTCTCTTTTTTACATGACTTCATCCTTCATTCAAAAGGTTTAGAATGTTTTGTAGTTTGTAAAGACAGCATTTATTTGTCAAAATTTTTTTACTTGCATCATCAACACATTTTTTAATCACATTTTTATCTTACATACATTGTATCAAAAGTCAAAACAGTACTATAATATTTTTTTACAAAAAATTATCCCAAATAATCTACTTGATTTTTAATGCATCATCATCCTACATGAATAGAAGGCCACGTAGTGAAAAAGTGAGAATTAAATCATTTATTCAAATATGACGAATATTAGGACACAAGTTATGATTTGTTCTTCAAGTTTAAGGTTGAATTTTTTAATGCAATATTTTCAAAATTTTAAATTCACTATTTTTTTTTAAAAATTAAATAGAAGTATTAAGTAACAAACATGCATTAGATGACATATTACAAAGCTGGTTAGTGGTTACCGCATCCAAAAAAAAAAAGACAAGAAAAAATGCTGGTCACTTGCAAAATTAAAGTGGAATAAGTGAAAAAGGAGAGACCACATAAGGGAAAGACGTGAGAAGCAGAGACCGCTTTCCTCTTTGTCCAAAGATGCGAAAGCGTTCCCTTCGATCAACTTATGCAAACGGTAAAGTGAGGTAGATCTCTTTCAGAGCTTCCACGTTTTCTGTGGTTGGAGGAGACGGTTTCTCGGCTTTGAGATTTGACCATGGAGTTCTTAGACGAAGATGCCTGTAATGGTACCACTGATTATAATCAGAGTAGCTAAGGGGGTAGATGAAAAAGAAAGAGAACAGAGGAAATAGGGAAGGAAAGATACGTGAGAGGGAAGGGATAATGAAGGAAAGAAGGAACTGAATTTGTTGTATCTCATTGCATAACCTTTCCGTCCCCTTTTAGGCTTATTTATACAAGATTCTTCCTCTAGATCCTTCTGTGTTCTAACCGCCCCCTTAACAGAATGAGCGTACATGCATGCATGCCTTTTTGATGAGTAACAGAGTAACTAACTTTTGAATTACTAACTAACTTCCTAAAATAGAAAACGCAGCAGATACATTTCTGCTAAAGGTATTTAAAATATCTAGGGTCATTACAACACCTTCCCCTTAAGAATCCTAGTCACTAGGATTGAGCTGGAAATTTGGGAACTGTGATTGTATTACTGTGACATCCTCCCAAGTTGAGTCTTCCGTGCCTAAGTTCACCCACTTGATCAACACTTGAGTCATCTTCTGTTTTCTCCTTATGATTTCACGAGTATCAAGTACACTTTCCGGGGCAATTTTAATCTGCCCCTCAGCAGTAGTCAAGGGTAACTCCTGAGTCACAACACGATTTGTTGCAGATGGTTTGAGCAAGGAAACATGGAAGGTAGGATGTATCAAAGAACCAGCAGGTAACTCTAGCTTATAGGCTGCATTTCCAACCTTTTGAAGGATCTTATACGGCCCATAGTACTTGGAAGATAACTTCAGATTCTTCCTGATTGCTACTGAAGTTTGCCTGTAAGGCTGCAATTTCAAGTATACCCAGTCACCTACCTGGAAACTCCTTTCAATTCTGTCCTTGTCAGCAAACTGCTTCATTCGATTTTGAGCCTTGATTAGATTTCCCCTCAGCAATTCATTCCACTTCCTCCTATCCCCCAACCACTGTTCCACAGCGGCTACTGGGGTCTCTAAGGTATCTAGGCCTAATTGAGAGGGTGGATAACCATACAGAGCCTGAAAAGGAGTCATTTTCAAGGCTGTGTGATGGTTGGTATTGTACCACCATTCGGCAGCTGCTAGTAAGAACTTCCATTTGTGAGGTTGTTGGAAACAAAGACACCTCAAGTATGTCTCAACGCACCTGTTCAGCCTTTCTGTCTGCCCATCTGTCTGAGGGTGGTATGCAGTGGAGTAGTGCAGCTCAGTACCCAGCTTCCCAAACAATTCCTGCCAAAACATGCTAGTAAACAGCCTATCCCTGTCTGATACAATGCTCAGGGGTAATCCGTGCAACTTGTAGATGTTATCAAAGTACATGCTAGCTACTGATTGTGCTGTATACTTGGAGGGTAGTGCTAAGAGGTGGCAGTATTTGGTAAACCTATCAATGACCACTAGTATTCCTTCATATCCTTGAGATTTAGGTAATCCTTCAATGAAGTCCATTGCAATGTGCTGCCATGCTTGCTCAGGGACAGGAAGTGGTTGCAGTAGGCCTGGTGTTTTGCAATTTTCTACCTTGCTCCTCTTACAGACATCACATTGTTGCACCCAACCTTCTACCTCTCTCTTCATTCCTGGCCAGAAGAATGGTCCCTTCAACCTCTGATAGGTTCCCAGATTGCCTGAGTGTCCTCCAAGGTGCGAGTCATGAAAGCAAGTTATCAGCTTCTGTCGCAAGCTCCCTGACGCTCCAATGTAAATCCTGCCTTTATACCTGAGTAATCCCCTATCAAAAGAGTAATTTGGAAGAGAGTTAGGTGTAATTGTCAAGGCTTCGATTAGCTTAATCACTGCACTATCCTCTCGGTAGCTTTCCAGAACCTCAGCTAGCCACGCAGGTTTCATGACTGAGAGACTGTGTGTAGAGCTATCTTCTTCATAGCCTCTCCTGGACAGTGCATCAGCCACAAGATTTTCCTTACCTCTCTTGTACTGTATTTCATAGTCCAGTCCTAACAACTTAGTAAGCCACTTTTGCTGCAGGGGAGTGGTTATCTTCTGCTCTAGTAGGTACTTTAAGCTCTGGTGATCTGTCTTTATGATGAAATGGTTGCCCAGCAGGTAATGTCTCCACTTGGAAACAGCTGTAATAAGGGACAGCAACTCCTTCTCGTATATGGATAGTCCCAGGTTCTTAAGTCCCAGAGCTTGACTGAGATAGGCAATAGGCCTTCCCTGCTGCATTAGGACTGCACCAATAGCCTTATGACTAGCATCGGTTTCTAGGATAAAAGGTAAAGAGAAATTAGGAAGAGTTAGGACTGGTGTACTGCTCATTAGCTGCTTCAGTTTTTGAAAAGCTAGCTCAGCCTGCTCATTCCAATGGAAGTTTTCCTTCTTCAAGAGTTCAGTAAGTGGCTTGGCAACAAGTCCATATCCCCTCACAAACCTCCTGTAGTACCCCGTCAGTCCCAAAAAACCTCTTAATGCTTTCACTGACGTAGGGGCAGGCCAATCCATCATGCTCTTGACTTTTGAAGAATCTGCCTGCACTCCATCTCCACTGATAACATGTCCCAAATACTCTACTTGTGACTGTCCAAAGACGCATTTGGAAAGCTTGGCAAAAAGAGAATGAGCTTGGAGTGTTTCTAGGACAGTTTTGAGGTGCAAAAGATGAGTGTCTGGGTCTGGACTGTATACAAGGATGTCATCAAAGAATACTAACACAAACTTCCTCAGGTAAGGTTCAAAGACATGGTTCATCAGGCTTTGAAAGGTTGCGGGTGCATTAGTAAGACCAAAGGGCATAACAGTGAACTCATACAATCCAAGGTGAGTTTTGAAAGCTGTTTTTGGAATGTCAGCAATGATCATCCTGACCTGATGGTATCCAGCTCTTAGATCTATTTTAGAAAAGAGCTTGGCTCCATACAGTTCATCAAGTAAATCATCAATGATAGGTATTGGGAATTTATCCTTGATAGTCAGGTCATTTAGTTGTCTGTAGTCAACACAAAATCTCCAAGTTCCATCTTTTTTTTTTACTAATAGAACTGGAGAGGCGAACGGACTATGGCTAAGCTGGATAATTCCACTACTAAGCATGTCCTTCACCTGCCTTTCTATTTCATTTTTTTGGTTGTGAGGGTACCTATATGGTGCTATCTTGAAAGGTTTGACATTAGGTACTAGGGGAATTTGATGGTCACAGTTTCTGGAAGGGGGAAGGGACCGTGGTTCACCAAATACATCTTTGTAGTCTTTAAGCAGAGCACCTAAGGACTGTTGAAAATCAGTGTCCAGCTGAGTGACAGTGTTTACCTGAGTCTCCTTCATTTGCAGTCCGCATGCATGCTTCCAAATTCTGGTACTCCATCCCTCCTTCTCAGCCTTATCACCAGGGAGTTTGAGAACAGTCTCCTTGGATTCTCCATGCAGAAGAATCCTCTCCCCTTTCTCATCAAAGGACATGTTCAGCTGCTTGAAGTCGAATGTGATGGGGCTGTGTGCCGCCATCCAGTCTACCCCTATGATCACATCATACGGCTCCAAGTTAATGACAAACATATCATGAGTGAACTGTTTACCTTGCATTGTCCAGCTCATGTTTGGGATCATCTTGTCGCAGGTCAAATACTCCCCATTTGCCACCCTGACTCTGAAAGGCTTGATAGACTGGACCAGCTCTGGGTAGAGTCGTGCCACAGAGTTTTTGACAAAGCTATGAGTGCTTCCTCCATCAACCAGAATTGATAGTGGTGTCCGTTTGAAACTCCCTTGCAGCTTGATGGTGTTGTAAGTCATTTTCCCTGTTAACGCATGTATCTCCATTTCTATACCCTTGGTTGATTGTGCTCCCTTGTACTCGATCATCTCCCCTTCCACCAGATCATCAGGACTGTCGTCTATTGCCACCAGCAGATGGATTTCCTTCTGCTTACATTGGTGTCCTGGACCAAACTTCTCCCCGCACCTAAAGCAAAGATGGTGCTCCCTCCTG